ACACTTACGTTAGCACTTACGAACGTGTACATCTTTCCTCAATCTTTGACGGCTTTGGTTACATTTATTAAACAGTATACAAGCATGAAAACTTGCCAATCATCTGTTGTTATTGTTATAAACAGCCTCCTGGTGCTTCGGAGCTCATTAACTGTTTAATTACTGTAAACAAAGCCGCCAAAGATTGAGAAAAGATGTACAGGTTCGTAAGTACTTGCGTAAGTGCTTTCGTGAATCTGGCCCCTGACTGCTATGTGGGCAAGCCACCAGCCAGGGTGTGGAACACCATAGACATGTTAGGAGACCCAGTGCTTGGAAGACCACTGTGAGATAAGACGCCCCAACTCTCAAGCTGGTGGTCCAAGAGCCTCGATTTACTCGGTGGAAACCAAGTTCCTCAATTCATAATTGCAAGATGAATTGTGTACCATCACAACCACTCAAACAAACACACACAAACATGCGCACAAGCACGTCAGTGTGTATATATTTCACTGCTGCTCGGTATTCATCTATAGACACCCAATTATCTTGAAATACACGAAGCAAACTTTGCAATCACTTGCAGCGCTGACAATAGAGAGCAAATTTAGCTGAGCTTCCAAACACACACACACACACACACACACACACACACACACACACACACACACACACACACACACACACACACACACACACCACACACACACACACACACACACACACACACACACACACACACACACCAAAGAGCCAAAGCTCAACCCCCGCAAGCACAAATAGGTGAGTACAAATAGGTGAGTACACACACACACACACACACACACACACACAAGGTGTCAGCAAGGCGGACAGTCCGCCTGCTGTCATATTATCTGTCACATTATCTTTATCCTTCACCTCTCTTCCTTCTCCCCCCCTCCCCCCCCTAAAAAAAAAAGTTGACGCTGATAGGGTTGGGGTTGGAGACAGAGGAGGGGGGTGGGGGTGGGGGGCTTAAGACTGGGTTGAGGTCATATACTCTTATGAACCAGATGAACCTTGAAGTAAGAACTCTTGGGTGTGAGCCAGTGAGCTGTTGTGGTGTGTAGGGGGGGCCCTCATTGGCGACAGATCCCTCCCCCCCCCCTTTAATTTTATATTCCACGGTGGGTGGGGGGCGGGAGGGGCCGTCGTCTCCCCCACCCTCATGGTAAACATCTCTCCCTCCTCCCTGTCTCTCCCGTCATCTCTCTTCCCGTCCCGTGGTTCTTCCTGACCCCACCTGTCTCCTTAAATATAATCACCTGTCATGGCCCGTCTTGCCCCGTGACACGCCTTAAGTGCTCCTCCTTCCACCTCAAACTTACAAGCAAATAATTTTCCATTCCCCCCCCCCCCCCCCCCCGCGTCTGTTCCTCCCGTACCTGTCAACGAGACTCACCTGTCACCACTCACCCGTCTCCTAGCAACGCTTCTCCTCTTCCCCTCACTAGTCACCTTCAGCAAGACCTCCTCCCCTCACACGCCCTCATCCTCGGTACTGCCTCATACTCTTCCCAACCTTCCCTTGTTTTAGCTGAAGGTCTCTTTCCCCTCTCACCTGGGGCCAGATTCACGAAAGCACTTACGCAAGCACTTACGAACCTGTACATCTTTTCTCAATCTTTGGCGGCTTTGTTTACAATTATTAAACAATTAATGAGCTCCGAAGCACCAGGAGGATGTTTATAACAACAGTTGAATGGGAAGTTTTCATGCTTGTAGACTGTTTAATAAATGTAACCAAAGCCGTCAAAGATTGAGGAAAGATGTACACGTTCGTAAGTGCTTGCGAAAGTGTTTTCGTGAATCTGGCACCTGGGACCTTGGAGGAGGGCGTGGGGGTGTGTGTTGTGGGCGTGGGGGTGTGTGGGCGTGGGGGGGGGGGTGTTGTGGGTGTGGGGGGCGTGTGTGGGCGTGAAGAGGGTGGTAGACAGAGGGTGGCAGTCTAAGCAGAGGTCAGTGACACACACTCACCATTTCACAACGCCAAGCGTCGCGTCGTACAAGATGAAGGAAGATTCTAACTCTGAGTCGGGCAGTGTTGATCCTTCCTATAGCAGCCACCTCATACCTGGATCTTACCTGTAGTGGGTTTCTAGAGTTTTTCTACTTCCCGGGCCTGGCCAGGCTCGACCTGTGATAAATCTTGAACCAATAGGCTGTTGCTTGGAGCTGCCCGTACGCCTATTAACATCACCCATCCACTTGGAATGGTCGGTAATGCCACAATCATACTTCTTGCAGGTCGGCGTTCGATCCCCGATGGTCTTAAGTGGTTGGGTACCATTCCTTCCCTAACCTAGCCCAGATTCTAGCCCCTCATATCCGTTCCAAATGCTATAAATTGTTGTGCTGGTTTAGCACTTCTAATAGCGACCTTACCTTCCCCAGCACTTAGTCTATCTCATATCCCTGCCAAGTGCTATACAGGCGTGCTGGCTTAAGGCTCTCATTTGATAATTATCTGTTTTCTAACATTGTCCAGCATTACATGTTGGTTAGCATTGTATTCATGTTAATCGGCTGTGAAAATAAACAAAACTCCATAACCTACGAGACTGTGACAGGTGTGTGACACACCAGCCAGCAAGACTGTGACAGGTGTGTGACACACCAGCCAGCAAGACTGTGACAGGTGTGTGTGAGACACACCAGCCAGCAAGACTGTCACAGGTGTGTGTGACACACCAGCCAGCAAGACTGTGACAGGTGTGTGTGAGACACACCAGCCAGCAAGACTGTCACAGGTGTGTGTGACACACCAGCCAGCAAGACTGTCACAGGTGTGTGTGACACACCAGCCAGCAAGACTGTCACAGGTGTGTGTGACACACCAGCCAGCAAGACTGTCACAGGTGTGTGTGACACACCAGCCAGCAAGACAATCACAGGTGTGTAACAACTGTTGTGAAAAATTATATATTACTCAGCACGTCGCATTTTATTTAAAGTGTCGATCAAACCGTTAAAAAAAATGCAACTTATTAGTAGAAATTAAAGCACCGACCGGGGGAGCCGGTCGGCCGAGCGGACAGCACGCTGGACTTGTGATCCTGTGGTCCTGGGTTCGATCCCATGCGCCGGCGAGAAACAATGGGCAGAGTTTCTTTCACCCTATGCCCCTGTTACTTAGCAGTAAAATAGGTACCTGGGTGTTAGTCAGCTGTCACGGGCTGCTTCCTGAGGGTGGAGGCCTGGTCGAGGACCGGGCCGCGGGGACACTAAAAAAAAAAAGCCCCGAAATCATCTCAAGATAACCTCAAGATAACCGCAATATAGACGTTTTCTATGCATCTTCCTTGATTGGGTTCACGTGTTTCTGATTAGGTCAAAACCATCGCATTTTTTACGGAGTGAGAACTCCACTGGTCTCCTGAAGAGTGGAGCCCTAACTTTAAGTTATCTTAATCTTAATGTTATCTTAAAAGTATTCCAACGCTACTTACTTGTTAGCTAATCTCAGCTGAACGCACTCGGTACGGGGGGGGGGGGGTTAGAGACCCGTCCCCACGTTGTGCCCGTATCTCTGTCTGTCTGTCTGTCTGTCTGTCTGTCTGTCTGTCTCCTTGGTATGGGGGGAGGGGGGACGTAGGAAAAACTGTAGTGAGGATTTCCTCAGGTCTAGGACCTCCCCCTGCCCCCCCCCCTCTCTCTCTCTCTCTCTCTCTCTCTGTCTGTCTGTCTGTCTGTCTGTCTCTCTCTCTCTCTCTCTCTCTCTCTCTGTCTCTCTCTCTCTCAGCTTTCAGCACCCAGCTGTTGCTAGGCCGGCGCCAAGCTGTCTTGTACCACCTCCCCCCCCCTACCCCCCCCCCCCTCCATAAACAGACAGACAGACAGAGGGGGGGAAGACAGGAATATGCTGCATGTGAGAAGGGATGCAGCATTGTGAAGAGACGCAATCTAATAATTTACGGTAATATCATTCGTTATCATTATCATTCGTTCTATTATGTGCCTCTGTAATCCTTTACACCACCGCCCAGTGGATGGGTATGGGGTGCATAATAAAGAAATTGAAGAAATTGCATTCTACCACAAACAATAACGGCTACAGAACCGTTACTCACAGCTACAGACTAGTACATCCCTGTAGGCCAGAATGTCTGCCTATCTGTGTTCTAAATTGGAGCCCAAACGCTTGCGGCTTGCCTCATGCAAATTTGCAAGGGAAGATGGTCTGGTGTTTAGGACACTTAGGCCTACGCCGGGGGTTGGCCTAAGTTAATTAAATGCTTTAAGAAATATTAGTAATAATACGGACCCGTTCATAGTATAGTTTGGTGTTCAAGTGTGAAATGTGGCGTGTGTTTACCGTAGAGTGTTTATGTCCTAAATTTAAAAAATAAAATATCTCCCAATCCTGAGCACTCCAGTTGCAAACTCTGTGAGCAGGAACTGCGGCATGATCTCCCGCACTACATCACTGAATGTCCAGTTATTAGACCTTTCAGACCAGTTGGCATGAGGTACCTGGAGCTTTGCAATTACTTTATTCACTCTCGTATTCTTGAAGATATCCTCACAGTATACCCAAAATATGCCAGTGCAGGCTACTAAACACATGGCCCTGTATGACTAACCATCCTGCGAGATGGGGACTTGTATTACCACTGCTACCTTATTCACTCTTGTGTTGATGATATCCTCATAATGCACCCAGAGTCTGCCAGTGTAGACTGCCTATCACATGCCTCTGTATGACAAACCATCCTGTGTGATGGGGATTTTTAGTACCACGTAGCTAGCTTTTTGACTGTACTCCCCTTCATATAGTCTAGGGCAGCTGCACAAATGCACATGTACCCAAGTGTGTAAAAAAAAATTCTTAGACCCATATAGTTGTTTCCCTGCTGCTTAATATATTTTCTGAGAAGAGGGGGAGAGGGGGAATGAAAGGGTGGCTAGATGAATGGCTAGATAGATGAAAAGGTGGATAGATAGATAGGAAAAAGAAGTGCAGTGGGACTTAGAGCCCAGGGCGTCAGAGGACCCACCTGTTGGAGATGCTTCGTAGCGCCGGTCTCCTGAAGAAGATGACGAGGAAGACTGTATTGAGGATGCTGGAGACGAGGAAGATGATGACGAGGGCCAGCGTCAAGGCCACGCCCGCAGCCCACGCCGCCACGCCCTCCACGCCCACGGCTACCATCACCACGCCTGACACAAGGGCAGAAACACACACACATTAGTGAATGCCTCGGAACACTGCGAAATTGACAAGGACGACACAGAACAAGTCTTTTAGATGAGTGTTGTTGTTGGCCCATGATCATTGCCAACCCTCCCAGCCTACCTGCACCCAACACCCACTTGTGTGTGTGTGTGTGTGTGTGTGTGTGTGTGTGTGTGTGTGTGTGTGTGTGTGTGTGTGTGTGTGTGTTTTATATACATGGTTCCTTGTAGAATTCTACGGTAAACTTCCAGACAGGTGTTTAGGTTAACGATCACTCAGGGAGCTTGGAGGGCAGGAGGGCAGCTGACGGAGGGCAGGAGGGCAGCTGACGGAGGGCAGGAGGGATGGCAGCTGGGTATCCACCATGCAAGTTGTATTGATAACAATATTGGTCGCACTCAAAATTTAATAACACTGAAGTAGACAGTTTATACAGTATTTCTGGCCACACTGTCCTCACTACTAGCATTAAATAGTTCACAATCAAGTAATAACACGCTTGTCGCAGAAGCCAGACATAAGATATATATACATACTTTAATAAGGTAAACAGCCCCCCCCGTTACATTAACCTGTAGGAACATGATTAAGATGACGCCCCCCCTTGCACACTAGGTAAATTGCATCCCCGTAGCAGAAAGGTGGATAGGGCCATCAGGTGAAAGAAATTTAGCCCCATTTGTTTATGCCTCAACCAGGATTGGAACCCTGTTCCTTGGGACTTCAAGTACCCTCCCCCACACCCCCTCCGAGTGCTATCCACTCACCTACGAGCCTCTTCACCCCCACACTATTCCTTACCTATCCTTTCACCTCATAACCCCCCTAAAAATGCCAACTTTTGGCTGGTTAATCAATTTGAGACTAGATTTGTATCATTTTTTACGGGCTATTCATGCCCGTGCCACCTCTTGGGTAGCTGAATCTTCATCAATCAATCAATCTGTTTTATTAACAAGCTTAGGTATACACAGTAATGTGGTGTTTACCCTGGTTGATGCCCGGTTGATGGGGTTCTGGGAGTTCTTCTACTCCCCCAAGCCCGGCCCGAGGCCAGGCTTGACTTGTGAGAGTTTGGTCCACCAGGCTGTTGCTTCGAGCGGCTCGCAGGCCCACATATACCTGGTTGATGGGGTTCTGGGAGTTCTTCTACTCCCCCAAGCCCGGCCCGAGGCCAGGCTTGACATGTGAGAGTTTGGTCCACCAGGCTGTTGCTTGGAGCGGCTCGCAGGCCCACATATACCTGGTTGATGGGGTTCTGGGAGTTCTTCTACTCCCCCAAGCCCGGCCCGAGGCCAGGCTTGACTTGTGAGAGTTTGGTCCACCAGGCTGTTGCTTGGAGCGGCTCGCAGGCCCACATATACCTGGTTGATGGGGTTCTGGGAGTTCTTCTACTCCCCCAAGCCCGGCCCGAGGCCAGGCTTGACTTGTGAGAGTTTGGTCCACCAGGCTGTTGCTTGGAGCGGCTCGCAGGCCCACATATACCTGGTTGATGGGGTTCTGGGAGTTCTTCTACTCCCCCAAGCCCGGCCCGAGGCCAGGCTTGACTTGTGAGAGTTTGGTCCACCAGGCTGTTGCTTGGAGCGGCTCGCAGGCCCACATATACCTGGTTGATGGGGTTCTGGGAGTTCTTCTACTCCCCCAAGCCCGGCCCGAGGCCAGGCTTGACTTGTGAGAGTTTGGTCCACCAGGCTGTTGCTTGGAGCGGCTCGCAGGCCCACATATACCTGGTTGATGGGGTTCTGGGAGTTCTTCTACTCCCCCAAGCCCGGCCCGAGGCCAGGCTTGACTTGTGAGAGTTTGGTCCACTAGGCTGTTGCTTGGAGCGGCTCGCAGGCCCACATATACCTGGTTGATGGGGTTCTGGGAGTTCTTCTACTCCCCAAGCCCGGCCCGAGGCCAGGCTTGACTTGTGAGAGTTTGGTCCACTAGGCTGTTGCTTGGAGCGTCCCGCAGACCCTCCTATTCTATATATCACACAAGAATATCTTCCAATATTCCTGAGTGTATGGAGTAATTACAGAGCTCAAACTGCCTCGTACCATTAGGTCTGAAGTCACATATATCAGGGGGAGGGAAGTGAACTATCAGGAGAAAGCGCCAAGTCATTACGACTATATGTAAGGGGTCAGGATAAGGATTTGGGATGGGACGGGGGGGCAAGGAATGATGCCCTACCACTTAGACGGTCGGGGATTGAACGCCGACCTGCATGAAGCGAGACAATCACAGATATAGTGTTGGAGAGTATGTCCCAGCTCTTGTTCACATAATTCACAGTTGGAATGTTCACCATTGGTGGAGATTCAAATCAGCTTGAGATGATTTCGGGGTTTAGCGTCCCCGCGGCCCGGTCCTCGACCAGGCCTCCTTTTTGTTACACCCCCCCCCCCCCCCAGGAAGCAGCCCGTAGTAGCTGTCTAACTCCCCAGGTACCTATTTACTGCTAGGTAACAAGGGCATCAGGGTGAAAGAAACATTTTGTTCATTTGTCTCCGCCTCCACCAGGGATCGAACCCAGAACCTCAGGACTACGAATCCGAAGCGCTGTCCACTCAGCCCACCTGCCACAGATATCGATATCCCAGCCTAATTCTGGCAATTACGATATCACACTGTCTAGTGGATGTTTTGTGATATCTGTACCACTTAATTCGAGCAGCACTAATAGGCCTAAGATTTGTGGGGGGGGGGGGGAAGCAAACAGGCAAATGAGCGGTGCAGGAGACCGGGAACCAAGATATCAGACTGAATACTATGCTAGGCCTATGATAGCCAGTTTTCTGACTACTTACGTTGGATGTTAATGAATCTCTCTCTCTCTCTCTCTCTCTCTCTCTCTCTCTCTCTCTCTCTCTCTCTCTCTCTCTCTCTCTCTCTCTCTCTCTCTCTCTCTCTCTCTCTCTCTCTCTCTCTCTCTCTCTATTTGGAGTATGAGAGAGAGAGAGAGAGAGAGAGAGAGAGAGAGGACAAGGAGCTACAGTACAAGCCAATACAATGAATATTTTCAAAATCATATAAGCCTAAGGCCTATGTCAAGAAAAACGAGGGTAGGTGTGGCCAGTTCATTAGATAACATGGGCTACCACTCGACCGGTCACACACATACACACACACACACACACACACACACACACACACACACACACACACACACACACACACACACACACACACACACACACACACGAATAAGAACCTCACAGCTAAAAAAGTTGTCCATCAAGAGGCAGGCCAGGGGAAATTCCCCAAGCCTAGCCTTAAGCCTTCAACAAGACATTAACAGTATTAAGACTGATTTTGTTCCCAAACGTCTGAATACGACTTGAAGGGAGAGAGGGAGAGGAGGAGGAGGAGGGGGGGGGGAGAGAGAGAACCAGGAACCCCACAGACACAGCAAACCACTCACTGTCTCACCATGAGTAACTCTTCCACATGGTTGGGTAAATAAACACATAACTCGGACTCACCCTCCCCCCCCCCTCACCTCTCTCCTATCTCACTCACTCTCCCATCTCACCACGCTCTCTCACTCCCCACCCCCCACCCCCACTCCTAAATTTCCCCCGCACACACTCTGGCTTTCTGCAGAAGCCAGACAGACAGACGCCCCTCTTAACAACTGTGCTTTAATGTGCTGGTGTAACCGTGAGGGGGGGGGAGGAGAGGGGGAGTGAGAGAAGGGAAGGCATGTGAGAGGAGGTGTAGGGAGGGGCAAGTGAGAGGGTGTACCAGTTAAAGATTTCCCCCTTCTGTTAATTTTTTAAATTTTTTAAAATTTTGCCCCGAGGGGCGAGTTTATTGGGCAGCGTCACTCATTCTTTGAGTGGACACACCGCCATAGTGACAGTATTGGGCAGCGCCACTCATCCTGTGAGTGGACACACCGCCATAGTGACAGTATTGGGCAGCGCCACTCATCCTGTGAGTGGACACACCGCCATAGTGACAGTATTGGGCAGCGTCACTCATCCTGTGAGTGGACACACCGCCATTGTGACAGTATTGGGCAGCGCCACTCATCCTGTGAGTGGACACGCCGCCATAGTGACAGTATTGGGCAGCGTCACTCATTCTGTGAGTGGACACGCCGCCATAGTGACAGTATTGGGCAGCGCCACTCATCCTGTGAGTGGACACGCCGCCATAGTGACAGTATTGGGCAGCGCCACTCATCCTGTGAGTGGACACGCCGCCATAGTGACAGTATTGGGCAGCGCCACTCATCCTGTGAGTGGACACACCGCCATAGTGACAGTATTGGGCAGCGCCACTCATCCTGTGAGTGGACACACCGCCATAGTGACAGTATTGGGCAGCGGCACTCATCCTGTGAGTGGACACACCGCCATAGTGACAGTATTGGGCAGCGCCACTCATCCTGTGAGTGGACACACCGCCATAGTGACAGTATTGGGCAGCGCCACTCATCCTGTGAGTGGACACACCACCATAGTGACAGTATTGGGCAGCGTCACTCATCCTGTGAGTGAACACACCGCCATAGTGACAGTATTGGGCAGCGTCACTCATCCTGTGAGTGAACACACCGCCATAGTGACAGTATTGGGCAGCGCCACTCATCCTGTGAGTGGACACGCCGCCATAGTGACAGTATTGGGCAGCGCCACTCATCCTGTGAGTGGACACACCGCCATAGTGACAGTATTGGGCAGCGCCACTCATCCTGTGAGTGGACACACCGCCATAGTGACAGTATTGGGCAGCGCCACTCATCCTGTGAGTGGACACACCGCCATAGTGACAATATTGGGCAGCGCCACTCATCCTGTGAGTGGACACACCGCCATAGTGACAGTATTGGGCAGCGCCACTCATCCTGTGAGTGGACACACCGCCATAGTGACAATATTGGGCAGCGCCACTCATTCTGTGAGTGGACACACCGCCATAATGACAATATTGGGCAGCGCCACTCATCCTGTGAGTGGACACACCGCCATAGTGACAGTATTGGGCAGCGTCACTCATCCTGTGAGTGGACACACCGCCATATGGGCAGCGCCACTCATCCTGTGAGTGGACACACCGCCATAGTGACAGTATTGGGCAGCGTCACCCATCCTGTGAGTGGACACACCGCCATAGTGACAGTATTGGGCAGCGCCACTCATCCTGTGAGTCGACACACCGCCATAGTGACAGTATTGGGCAGCGCCACTCATCCTGTGAGTGGACACACCGCCATAGTGACAGTATTGGGCAGCGCCGCTCATCCTGTGAGTGGACACACCGCCATAGTGACAGTATTGGGCAGCGCCACTCATCCTGTGAGTGGACACACCGCCATAGTGACAGTATTGGGCAGCGCCACTCATCCTGTGAGTGGACACACCGCCATAGTGACAGTATTGGGCAGCGTCACTCATCCTGTGAGTAAACACACCGCCATAGTGACAGTATTGGGCAGCGTCACTCATCCTGTGAGTAAACACACCGCCATAGTGACAGTATTGGGCAACGCCACTCATCCTGTGAGTGGACACACCGCCATAGTGACAGTATTGGGCAGCGCCACTCATCCTGTGAGTGGACACACCGCCATAGTGACAGTAATGGGCAGCGCCACTCATCCTGTGAGTGGACACACCGCCATAGTGACAGTATTGGGCAGCGCCACTCATCCTGTGAGTGGACACACCGCCATAGTGACAGTATTGGGCAGCGCCACTCATCCTGTGAGTGGACACATCGCCATAGTGACAGTATTGGGCAGCGCCACTCATCCTGTGAGTGGACACACCGCCATAGTGACAGTATTGGGCAGCGCCACTCATCCTGTGAGTGGACACACCGCCATAGTGACAGTATTGGGCAGCGCCACTCATCCTGTGAGTGGACACACCGCCATAGCAGCATGTACAACACTCCCCAATAGGAAGAAAACCCGCTGGGTTGTTCATCCTGTCACTTGTACCCAGACACAGCTGGGACTTGCTTAACTGTCTCAAGTGAACAGCTCCTCAAACAAGCCATTACGACTCTATAGCACTTTGACGCTTGATAAGATGATCTAAGGATCAAGTTAGAACCTCTCAAAATTCTCCGGTATTAAATTAATATTACTAACATTAAAAGAAGATAAATTAGTCTAGAGACGATTGGACGACCTTGTCTGATTGGACCTTGTCTGATTGGACCTTGTCTGATTGGACCTTGACGATTGGACCGACTTGTCAAGACCTTCGTTTAAATACATAAACCAAGTCTACATCAAGCCTAAAGTCTTATTAAAGGGGGGCAGCCGTATACTCCCATAAACTACTGGTGATCCACTAATTAGTAATCGTCAATACTCTTGTAGTAACGAATGTAATTGGGTGGCGGCCGCCCGTTCTCCCGTGAATTGAGATTAAGCATTTCCTTGTAAGCATTCACCTAGTTGTGCTTGCTCCGTGGTGTAGTGGTAAGACACTCGCCTGGCGTTCCGCGAGCGCTATGTCATGGGTTCGTATCCTGGCCGGGGAGGATTTACTGGGCGCAATTCCTTAACTGTAGCCTCTGTTTAACGCAACAGTAAAATGTGTACTTGGATGAAAAAACGATTCTTCGCGGCAGGGGATCGTATTCCAGGGACTTGCCCGAAACGCTACGCGTACTAGTGGCTCTACAAGAATGTAACAACTCTTGTATATATCTCATCTCATCTCATCTGCTGGGGTTGAGCTCTGCTCTTCCGACCCGCCTCTTAACTCTTACTAATCTCCCTCCCCCCCCCCCACACACACACATAGGAAGCAGCCCGTAACAGCTGTCTAACTCCCAGGTACCTGTTTACTGCTAGGTAACAGGGGGGCATCAGGGTGAAAGAAACTCAGCCTATTGTGTTCCTCGCCGGGAATCGAACCCCGGTCCACAGGATTAAGTGTCCAGCGTGCTGTCCACTCAGCCACCAGCGTCCTGGTGGGTACTAGTGGTTCAGTGTGGGACTAATACTGACCCCTAAAACCGTGGAATTGATAGTTTAGAATGATTAGAATGATTTAGAATGATTATACCTTCTTGTATATATATAAATAAGTGAATAATTAAATAAATTAGGTTACTCTCAACTGTGAATAATTTTTAGATTTTATAAGGAAATATACGTTATAACACCAGTATATATAAAGCTACAGTGGTACAAAGGTGTCCCCAACGTCAAGAAACTATCGTACTAATGTGCCCTTACCCTAACCAACCAGAGGATCCACGAACAGAAAACGGGACATCACGCCAAGTTCGCCAGCCGCTACCATTTTTTTTTTGTTCATCAGTTCTTGGCCTTAGGTAGAGCGTACGTCAGAATACGACGTTGTATCAGGAGGTCGGGTTGTGGGGTGCCAACTGTACTAAACCAGTTCATTTCAGTAGTAGAGACGCGCATAGAAAATGGGATCAGAATGTTAATACTGCCTTAGTATACTTTAATATTTTGACTATTATTTTTACTCTTACCAGGGACACAAAATATTGAGATTAGTTTTTGAAATTCTGTAAAATAGTATTGTGAGGTGAGGAACGTCTGGAGCCTATCCTGTGAGGTGAGGAACGTCTGGGGGTGAGGAACGTCTGGAGGTGAGGAACGTCTGGAGCCTATCCTATGAGGTGAGGAAAGTCTGGAGCCTATCCGAGGAGGTGAGAAACGTATGGAGCCTATCCTATGACGTGAGGAACGTCTGGAGCCGATCCTATGAGGTGAAGAACGTCTGGAGCCTATCCTATGAGGTGAGAAACGTCTGGAGCCTATCCGAGGAGGTGAGAAACGTGTGGAGCCTATCCTATGAGGTGAGAAACGTCTGGAGCCGATCCTATGAGGTGAGGAACGTGTGGAGCCTATCCTATGAGGTGAGGAACGTGTGGAGCCTATCCTATGAGGTGAGGAACGTCTGGAGCCTATCCTATGAGGTGAGGAATGTCTGCAGCCTAGCCTGCAAGGCCAGGAAACATCAGCAGCCTAGCCTGCATGACCATGAACATCAGCAGCCTAGCCTACAAGGCCAGGAACATCAGCAGCCTAGCCTACAAGGCCAGGAACATCAGCAGCCTAGCCTGCAAGGCCATGAACATCAGCAGCCTAGCCTGGAAGCCACCTAGCCTCTCTTTACCCCCAGGAGCCAGCAAGAGTCGTCCTTGTGGCATCACAGAGAGAAACTCCAGCATCCTGCAGCCTCTCTCTTCACCCACGAATACATTTTAATTCACGTAAGGTCTTTGGGGGCCAGGCAGTGACCTTGGGGGGGACCTACGTTTGATGTTTGGGGCGTGCCCGGACTTCAGAGGGCCGGGCACGTTAGTCACAGAGGGCCGGGCCGGGACTTCAGAGTGCCGGGCCGGGACTTCAGAGGGCCGGGCACGTTAGTCAGATTACATTGTATTGGCTTTTAGAACCGCAGCTGCCTGATGAGTTCACATGTACGCTTGTATGCGCTCATTGTACGCTAGTATGCGCTCATTGTACGCTAGTATACGCTCATTGTACGGTTGTATGCGCTCATTGTATTCTTGTATGCGCTCACTCTCCCACACATATCACTCATGACGGTCAAGGAACCCCCCATAACTCCACACGTCACGGTCAAGGAACCCCCATAACCCCACGGTCAAGAAACCCCCATAACCCCACGGTCAAGGAACCCCCCATAACTCCACACGTCACGGTCAAGGAACCCCCATAACTCCACACGTCACGGTCAAGGAACCCCCATAACCCCACGGTCAAGGAACCCCCATAACCCCACGGTCAAGGAACCCCCATAACCCCACACATCACGGTCAAGGAACCCCCATAACCCCACACGTGACGGTCAAGGAACCCCCATAACCCCACACGTGACGGTCAAGGAACCCCCCATAACCCCACACGTCACGGTCAAGGAACCCCACTAACCCCACACGTCACGGTCAAGGAACCCCCATAACCCCACACGTCATGGTCAAGGAACCCCCATAACCCCACACGTGATGGTCAAGGAACCTCCCATAACCCCACACGTCACGGTCAAGGAACCCCACTAACCCCACACGTCACGGTCAAGGAACCCCACACATGACGGTCAAGGAACCCCCATAACCCCACACGTCACGGTCAAGGAACCCCCATAACCCCACACGTCACGGTCAAGGAACCCCACACATGACGGTCAAGGAACCCCCATAACCCCACACGTGACGGTCAAGGAACCCCCATAACCCCACACATGACGGTCAAGGAACCCCCATAACCCCACACGTCACGGTCAAGGAACCCCCATAACCCCACACGTCACGGTCAAGGAACCCCACACATGACGGTCAAGGAACCCCCATAACCCCACACGTGACGGTCAAGGAACCCCCATAACACCACACGTGACGGTCAAGGAACCCCCATAACACCACACGTCACGGTTAAGGAACCCCCATAACCCCCACGGTCAAGGAACCCCCATAACCCCACGGTCAAGGAACCCCCATAACCCCACGGTCAAGGAACCCCCATAACCCCACGGTCAAGGAACCCCCATAACCCCACGGTCAAGGAACCCCCATAACCCCACGGTCAAGGAACCCCCACAGTCTTACCTTCGTCAGCGTGTTCTTCCATCCTCCAGCAGGACAGCACGAGGATAGGGCCTGTCCGGCCTCCTGTCCTCCCACTTTATTCTTGCGGAATTAAATTCCTCTTTATTCTCTCTCTTTCTCTGCCTGTTCCGTCCACGGCGGGGGGGGGGGGGAGGGGGAATGAACCTGTTCACTTAGCGGCTTGACAGCTGTGGTGTTGAACACGGGTCAACCATCCCGGTGAGGTGATGAGGAGGTGATGAGTGTGAGGCTCACCGCCGAGCTGGGATACATTGGCTGATGCTTCACACCTGTTTGAACTAACTGTCCAGTTTACGCACAAGACTGACTGACTGTTCCTACTCCTAGACCGTTGTCAGCACTCTTCCACTCGCCCAGTCACTGTCAACATCACTTGCATATTTGGGGTAATCATGGCGATGAGGAATAGGGACATTAAGTGCACTTTCACTGCGGCGAGGCCCAAGGGAAGGCTCGCAGGCCAGGCGCAGCGTGACACCGAGAGCAGCAGCAGCAGCAGGAGGAGGAGCGCGTGTAGCCACCACGGCGGCAGGAGCGAGACTGACTGGCTGAGGCTGCGGAGGACCCCAGCAGCAGCTCCGGCGGGTGTCGGGGCGGGGCTTATCTCTCCTAGCCACGCCCACACCGCCCCTTAGCCACGCCCTCTGGCACCCTTTAGCCCCTCCCCCTCTCTGGCACTCCCCAGTCACGCCCCGTGGCACACCCTATGGTACCCACGACCCAGCACAAGGTGGGAAAATGATAAACTGGCAGCCAGGGGAGCGCGACCAGTGGCCGCAGCAATTAGTACAGTTTTTACCCCCTCCTGGACCCGACAGTTGCCACTGGTTTCATATTTGAATTTTGAATTTTGAATTTAATTGTATCTTCTCTTCCTCCTTGTTCCCCTCTTAAACAAACATGGCCGCTGTGTTGTTTGTCAACACCCCAAGGGCCACCACACCTCAGCTGAAGTAGTAAAAAGAGCAATATAGTGGCAAGCTCCACCCCCCCTACTCCCTAACACCCCCCCCCTTCCCTAACACCCTCCCCTAACCCCCTAACACCCTCCCCTAACCCCCCTAACACCCTCCAAAAGGACCAGGCTGACATTTCTCGTACAATTATCAGCAGACAGGACATCAGTCTTGGGAGCGGCACCTCGCTGCACTCCTCAAAAGGCAGGTCCTTAGGCATGGCTGTGAGGTAGGTCTTAGAATAGCGTTGGGGTGGAGGGGGTGTGGGGGGGAGGGGAGAGCTCGGGTGCTTGGGGAAGGAACAAGGGGGCTCGGGGACGCTTGGAGCAGCTCTGGGAAAGAATGTCCTTTCTGCCCCAAGACAAGCGGGGAAAAAACCATTAACTCCCAGAGATATGGATCTAAATTAGCTCGCTCACTTCGACTTTTATCGAGCTACGGAGTACAGGGGAGAGATGGGGAGGGGGGAGACTGTGTCAAGGGGGTTAAGGGGTGGGAGAAGGGGAGGTTAAGGGTGTACTGTAGTACTCAGTACTTTCAAAAATAAATCTCAGTGCAGGAAGACTTGGTGATGTGTGTGGATGTGTGGCCAAGATTGACTCTGTAATGCATCAGTTATACAATGCATGTGATGTAACTATTGTAACTTTAAAGTACTCTTTATTTTCTTCTTCGAGGCTGTGGGTCCCTACAATTGCACCAGAGGTGGTACCCCTATTATATATATATATATATATATATATATATATATATATATATATATATATATATATATATATATATATATATATATATAGAGTCAAAGATTGAGGAAAGATGTACACGTTCATACTTGCGTAACCGCTTCGTGAATCTGGCCCCAGGGATACCTAGGACTTAGCCAACTGTTGTGGGTTGCATCCTGCGGAAGAAGGTCAATATACTTAACCCAGGGGGGTCGACCAGGAGACAGACTATCAGGGGGGGGGCTTCCGTCCCCGTCAATAAGGGGAAACCACTATAATATAATCGTGTGCTTCCGCCCTGGGGGGGGGGGGGGAGGGGGGCCTTGCGCCCCCTTTCCCTTTGAAGGGTATTGGGTAGGGGGGGGGAAGGGTGACGCTGATGCCCCCCCCCTCTCCCCCTTAAATGACAGACCTGTCCGATCCCCAAGGACAGGAGACGGGGTATACTCACACTCTGTCATTCTCAGGCGTACAGGAACCTGTACACCAGTTGATTGACAGTTGAGAGGCGGGTCCCAAGAGCCAGAGCTCAACCCCCCCGCACAAGCACAACTAGGTGAGTACTCATGTATCCCACGTATCATCAAACACTGTCAGGTTATTCTGGTGCCATGTGTCCCGTCAGAGATATGTATCATGATATGAATCATATGTATCATGATATGTATCATCACATGTATCATGATATGCTTCATCATGGTGATATGTATCATGAGAGGATAAAGAGCTGGGGTATACAGGTTGGAGGAAGGGACGGTCCCCAGACCCTTGGACCATCGGGGATCGAACTCCCACCCTGCAAGAGATAATAAGGCCATTTACCCTACCGACGACCAATCCAAGTGAGTGGACTTGGATTGGACAATCCAATTCATCTTCCTCATCTTCAAGGAGCCTGTCGGCCGAGCGGACAGCACGCTGGACTTGTGATCCTGTGGTCCCGGGTTCGATCCCGGGCGCCGGCGAGAAACAATGGGCAGAGTTTCTTTCACCCTATGCCCCTGTTACCTAGCAGTAAAATAGGTACCTGGGAGTTAGTCAGCTGTCCCGGGCTGCTTCCTGGGGGTGGAGGCCTGGTCGAGGACCGGGCCGCGGGGACACTAAAAGCCCCGAAATCATCTCAAGATAACCAAGATAACCTTCCTTACTAAGCAGACTACCTTGCGATGATTTCGGGGCTCTAACGTCCCCGCGGCCCGGTCCTCGACCATTGTACCTGTTCAGTTAGGTTTTCATTATTAAATGAGAACCAATAAGAACAGCTGGTATCTGTCAAGTCGAAACCCTGGTTTGTGATTGGCTGATGAGATGCATGAGAGGTGATAGGCCCATTAAGTTGGTTCCACAGGATGTGTACTCACCTAGTTGTTCTTGTGTGGGGGTTGAGCTCTGGCTCTTTGGTCCCGCCTCTCAACTGTCAATCAACTGGTGTACAGGTTCCTGAGCCTACTGGGCTCTATCATATCTACACTTGAAACTGTGTATGGAGTCAGCCTCCACCACATCACTGCCTAATGCATTCCATTTGTCTACTACTCTGACACTGAAAAAATTCTTTCTAATATCTCTGTGGCTCATTTGGGCACTCAGTTTCCACCTATGTCCCCTAGTGCGTGTGCCCCTTGTGGTAAATAGTCTGTCTTTATCAACCCTATCAATTCCTCTGAAAATCTTGTATGTGGTGATCATGTCCCCTCTAACTCTTCTCTCTCCCAGTGACGTGAGGTTTAATTCCTGTAGTCTCTCCTCGTAGCTCATACCTCTCAGCTCGGGTACTAGTCTGGTGGTAAACCTTTCAACCTTTTCCAGTTTAGTCTTATGCTTGACTAGATATGGACTCCATGCTGGGGCTGCATACTCCAGGATTGGTCTGACATATGTGGTATACAAAGTTCTGAATGATTCCTTACACAAGTTTCTAAAGGCCGTTCTTATGTTAGCCAACCTGGCATATGCCGCTGATGTTATCCTCTTGATATGGGCTTCAGGGGACAGGTCTGGCGTGATATCACCCCCCAGGTCTTTCTCTCTCTCTGACTCTTGAAGTATTTCATCTCCCAAATGATACCTTGTATCTGGTCTCCTGCTCCCTACACCTATCTTCATTACATTGCATTTGCTTGGGTTAAACTCTAACAACCATTTGTTCGACCATTCCTGCAGCCTGTCCAGGTCTTCTTGAAGCCTCAAGCTGTCCTCCTCTGTCTTAATCTTTCTCATAAGATTGAGAGAAATGAGTCTATACCCTCCGGGGTATAGGAGGATATAGCCTCATTTACGTATATCAGAATCAGGATAGGACCGAGTACAGAGCCCTGTGGGACTCCACTGGTGACTTCACGCCAATCTGAGGTCTCACCCCTCACAGTAACTCTCTGCTTCCTATTGCTTAGGTACTCCCTTATCCACTGGAGCGCCCTACCAGTTACACCTGCCTGTCTCTCCAGCTTATGTACCAGTCTCTTATGGGGTACTGTACCACAGTGGTCCTGGCCGAGGTTCTGGTGTACCACAGTGGTCCTGGCCGAGGTCCGGCTGTACCACAGTGGTCCTGGCCGAGGTCCGGCTGTACCACAGTGGTCCTGGCCGAGGTCCGGCTGTACCACAGTGGTCCTGGCCGAGGTCCTGGTGTACCACAGTGGTCCTGGCCGAGGTCCAGATATACCACAGTGGTCCTGGCCGAGGTCCTGGTGTACCACAGTGGTCCTGGCCGAGGTCCAGATATACCACAGTGGTCCTGGCCGAGGTCCTGGTGTACCACAGTGGTCCTGGCCGAGGTCCTGGTGTACCACAGTGGTCCTGGCCGAGGTCCAGATATACCACAGTGGTCCTGGCCGAGGTCCGGCTGTACCACAGTGGTCCTGGCCGAGGTCCGGCTGTACCACAGTGGTCCTGGCCGAGGTCCTGGTGTACCACAGTGGTCCTGGCCGAGGTCCTGGTGTACCACAGTGGTCCTGGCCAAGGTCCAGGTGTACCACAGTGGTCCTGGCCGAGGTCCTGGTGTACCACAGTGGTCCTGGCCGAGGTCCTGGTGTACCACAGTGGTCCTGGCCGAGGTCCAGATATACCACAGTGGTCCTGGCCGAGGTCCGGCTGTACCACAGTGGTCCTGGCCGAGGTCCAGATATACCACAGTGGTCCTGGCCGAGGTCCTGGTGTACCACAGTGGTCCTGGCCGAGGTCCGGCTGTACCACAGTGGTCCTGGCCGAGGTCCTGGTGTACCACAGGGGTCCTGGCCGAGGTCCAGGTGTACCACAGTGGTCCTGGCCGAGGTCCGGCTGTACCACAGTGGTCCTGGCCGAGGTCCTGGTGTACCACAGTGGTCCTGGCCGAGGTCCTGGTGTACCACAGTGGTCCTGGCCGAGGTCCGGCTGTACCACAGTGGTCCTGGCCGAGGTCCTGGTGTACCACAGTGGTCCTGGCCGAGGTCCAGGTGTACCACAGTGGTCCTGGCCGAGGTCCTGGTGTACCACAGTGGTCCTGGCCGAGGTCCAGGTGTACCACAGTGGTCCTGGCCGAGGTCCTGGTGTACCACAGTGGTCCTGGCCGAGGTCCTGGTGTACCACAGTGGTCCTGGCCGAGGTCCAGATATACCACAGTGGTCCTGGCCGAGGTCCTGGTGTACCACAGTGGCCATGGCCGAGGTCCTGGTGTACCACAGTGGTCCTGGCCGAGGTCCTGGTGTACCACAGTGGTCCTGGCCGAGGTCCGGCTGTACCACAGTGGTCCTGGCCGAGGTCCGGCTGTGCCACAGTGGTCCTGGCCGAGGTCCGGCTGTACCACAGTGGTCCTGGCCGAGGTCCTGGTGTACCACAGTGGTCCTGGCCGAGGTCCAGATATACCACAGTGGTCCTGGCCGAGGTCCGGCTGTA